TCCTCAACCTTCATAGGTGGCAGCACATGCCAGTGCTGATAACTTGTTGACACAAGAACAGATAATTATGATAATACAACAGTTCGTAAGTCGAACATATGTACGTACGTATACAGTATTGTACAGTACTTAGTGTAGTATATGTACGTGTGAACATCCGAGTAACCTAGAAGTGTACATAGTTTAAACATATACATGAACACAGGAGTTGGCAAAAGTCAAAATCAGCGGGGTCTTCTTATTCACCAATATTGACATTATACACTATAATGGACTTCAGCGCAAATTGTTCGTATCATCGAATGTTCATAACTCGAATGTTTGTAAGTCGGGGAGTCTCTGTAATATATAGTATAGCTTGAATCTTACCTGCTCATCAGTATCATCTGCCCTGGATAGCCCTACCACAGGTTTCCGGGGAATGACGAGGAAATGCACGGGTGCCTGCGCTGCCAAGTCATGAAAAGCTACACACTGAAATGTTACAAAACTACTCATTAGATTTGTTCAGTTTCATACAAAAACAAACGTCTACACATTGCCTTGCATACTATAGTATCACTGTTATATTTATGTTCTTCCTATTAATTTCAATCTGGAATAGGTAAACAAGACACTTAGTGTGAACACACACAGGTCACATACAAACAATATATTCATATCAGTTAAGTAACAGTTCACCTGATCATCTTCATAGATAAACTCGCACGGTATTTCCTTGCGCACAATCTTGCCAAAAATCGTGTCGCCACCAGGAGTAGCAACCTGAGCTTTAGCTATCTCGTCTGCCATTCCTATGCAAAGCAGAACTTAAAGGCTAACAACAAGTACAGTAGACTTTAGTAACGTACAAACCAATAAAATACATGCAAATGCTATGCAAGAATAAAATAAGACTTCACAAACTGCTAGACTCGCTCTATAGAATTAATTGGATATATGTTTAGATTGAGTTCACACACATTAGTTTGGCCTGTAAAATTGAGGCTGCATTGACTCCTAAAATTTCCACTTTAGGGGCCAATTGGCTACTGATGTTTTGGTAAACATTTACTTGCAGATGGTATAACACCTATATACAGCTCGTCTAAGTGTTTGCCAGGGCCAGTTATTTTGTAACATCCTTATCTACGAATCTTACAATTTTTAGGTCAGTTGCAGCTCCTAGATATATGGTCATACATCAAACGACTGTTGCATATCGACGTTAGTCTAGTAGCCTGGTCAAGCTAGGTCAGTACAACTGACATTCTAGTTTGACCAGGTTGTGAGACTAACACTAACATTACTACACATCGGTTTTTCAATGTATGATGGTGTCTAATTCACAATCCTAGTTTGGTACCCCGGCCCTCATTTTCTCAAATGTGCTAAACTAATCTGGGTGCCAAACTAGGATTGGGCAATGTCTGAGACACTTCAAAGCTAGTTCATACAGTTACAGTTATAATTTATATATCATAATGTGTTTACTGCAAATGTGTAAACATATAATACATGTTTTTTGAAGAATTGCATATAGCCAATCAAACAAGGCTAGTACAGTATACAATATACCCTACAAGTACAACCATCTCAACATCTGCACCTAGAAATAATAAATAATATTAATAAGCATCCATAATAGAACAAGAGCCGCAGAGCATTTGGGCTCCTCTGAGGTCTGTTGCTACGGTTATAAACGTAACATTTAAGTCGTGCATAGTGACACCTTTGTTAGGCGCAGATATGCAGATATGCAGTTGCATACACATCATGCATACCTCCCAAATCCCATTGGTTGATACAAATTGCGTGCCTGAAACTCCTGTTTTATGGTGCATTGTAACCCTAACCCTAACCCTATTAAAAAAAATAATAATTTAATTGTTGTAAAAATTATTGTAAATAAATCATGTCAATATTTGCATTAATTGGAAAAAAAATAGTTAAATGGATAAAGATAGAAAAATACAGAAAACAGGTAAATAATAAAAAATCAGATGGGATTCGATCCAACGACCCTTCAGACATGACGCCCGTGCTGTACACGTTCGGCTATCCAGGCTTATTGGGTTTCTAGATTATGGATGTGCCATGAATATATATGACAACACTGTGACGTCATTGAGGCAGTTCAGGAAAACGCATTCCCGATCATTGCGATATTTGCAAAAGGATTGCGCGCATCAGTGTATAAAGGTTGAAATTTCTTCTTGGTTTCACAGTTTCATGCACCAATCCAACTGTATAAAGATATAAATATTGGCAGTCTGTATGTATATTGCAAATTTTGCGACATCAGTGGTGGACTGAACAGGGACAGTCAGGGTACGGTGGGGAGTAAGCGAGGTACGGTCCAGCATATCAGATAGTTCTGGATCTGGATAGTTTACTGCGTAGCCCACGGTTACCTGGATAATAACGCAGGGAGGTGTGCGCTTAGATGTTGTCGTCAGCGGCAGTGGAATAGATAAGGTCTATCTCGGCCTCAGTACGCTGGTTCCACTGTTGAATAGTGAATGCTGGTAATTGCTCGTTTGCTGGTTGGCGCGTTTGATTTTCCTCTAGAAAAGCGAGTTTGCATTTCTTCCGTTTCACGCCCTGAATTTATTCTCGTACATATGGCGTGCT